CACACACACACACACACACACACACACACACACACACACACACACGTGTCAATAGCACATCTTCAAGCTTCACAGAAAAGATGAGGAGGCAGGAAGTCAAATACAGGCACAGCAGGGAGAAGCCAGTCAATTTTCAAAATAAAAGACTACCGGCAGACTCAAATGCTCCGTTTCTGAAACACTCGTGGATCCACCGTGCGCCCGATGATAAACCGGGGCAGACATCTGGAACACTTATGGGGAGCTTATCACAGTAAGTCTGAATCCTCAAGGAGCAAGTGTACGATACTTCAGGTACTCACACCAGCACGGGTCGCACAGCGTTGTTCATGTTGCCGTACGCCGCTCGGCCCAGCAGCTCTCTGAAGCAGTTCTCAGCCAGCGCTGACGGGTTCTCCTCGCCATCCTGACCCGCCCCCGATGGTGTGTTGGGGTGTCCCGCCCTGCCAGAGAGACCAAAACAACAACAGAGAGGATGCTTAGAAAGAAAAATTAAAAATCCCCCCCTGCGGTGACCGTTTACAAGGAACACAAACACCTTAAACAAGCTGGACTGAAAACAAGAAAGCAAATTATTTACTTAATGTTTAAATGACTGAACAACAACCAAGAATCAATTTATTACATTGAACACAAAAATCTGTACAGGAGGAACGACGCAAGAAGCTTTCAGGCCGTAAGGAAGGAAGGAAGGAAGGAAGGAAGGAAGCCAGGAGGAAAGAACAAGTACAGAATAACAGGAGAAAAGATCTGAAAAGAATCAATCAGAGCAGCTGGGAAAAAAGGAGAAATCAATGAGGGTATCGACCTGCCTCAACCAGAGGGTGTGTGTGTGTGTGTGTGTGTGTGTGTGTGTGTGCACGTGCACAGACAGAGGAAACAGAAACACTGCAAAGTCTGTGCCAGGCAGAGATTTTAACAGGCCTTCCTTCACTGCGACATCAGAAAAGAGAGAAGAAGTCAGGACTGAAATAATGACTTTGATTGGCTCACTGATGAATCATCGAGGCTTCTGACTGAATGACTGAGCGTTCAGGCCGGCTGCCTGTCCGATGGGTCAGCTATCGCAAACCAACAGTGCAAACCTTCAAAGGCTGAGGATTACTGTGTTACTCTCGAGGGGAAAACTGTAATAAAATCAACAGTAACCAGATAAAGATGAAACTACCGTAAACAGAGAAGAAACACAGAGTTATAGAAACAGCCAACAGCAGCCATGCCCTTCTATCCCACGCGTTGTAGACATTCACAAGCAAAAAATAAGAGCTGAGCAGGAAGCAGTGGCTTTTGATTTACTGGTCAGGTAGCCGCAGCCACAGTCACGAGCTTGGGTAGTGACCTAAGGAATGAGATCGAAGATGCAAGCAGCAGAAGAGTGCGTGGGCTCAGCCTCAGAGACAGGCTGAGGAGCTCAGAGCAGAGCTGCCGCTACGCCACATCAAAAGGATGCAGTCTGGGTTATTCAGCATCTGACAAGGATGAGACGCCCATCTGTGAGACCTCATTCTGCAGAGATGATGTCTCTCTGCTGGCTTTCCAGAACAGCTGAAAAGAGGCAGGTCTGCCTGCAATCAACCTCTGGAGCTCTTTTGTCCCGTCTCCTCCCTCCACCCCAACCGGTTGCAGCGGATGGCCACCTCTCCCTGAGCCTGGATCCGCCAGAGGTTTTTCCTTCCCACTTTCGCCAAGTGCGTGCTAATATGGGGTTTTCTTTCTATAATCGTAGGCTCTTTACCTTACAATAGAAAGCTGTGCAAGGAGCAGAAAACAACTGAAGGCATTCAAGGTTTGCAGAAAGAGTCTGACCACTTAAAAGACAAAATAAAGGTGTTGGAGACACTTAAACATACAGACTTTCCACTTCAGGGTAAATAACACATTTTAACAAGCTTGTAGACCTTTGTTCGTGCCCAATAAACCCATTTGTTGCTTGAAATAAACCTTTTTCACTCACACATAAATTTGTAGAAGTCATACCTTTGTCATAATAAATAAAGCTGCTTTCTGCAGGCATGAATGCAGAGCTGCTTTAATAACTGAGCTGCCTTTTGAGCCAAAACTCAAATCCTGACAGACTTTGGTGGATCACTGTCACCTGCAGAAACAGAAAACAGTCTGAGGAGCAGGAGCCGCAGCCCAGCAGAATGAGTAAATAATAATGAGCGGAAGATTTCGGAGTGTGGCTCTGCAGAGGTGACAGTAAGCTCACCAAGAAATGTTTAGCGCCGCAGCTGCAGCAGAGCGAATTCTGATATCAGAAAATAACAAAAGTAATCCTAATGAGCTGTCAGACGATGACGTCGAAAGCAGGACCGAGATGTGGAAGAGCAGGAAGAGAGGCAGATAAGTAATGTTGAGGATTCCTGTTTTGTAATTTACAAACGTCACCTCGCAGCCAATGAGAAGCGAGTCCTCTCACGCCCGTGGGCTCTCTTCTCTGTAATGAGACTGGACCTGTTGTGAAATGTCAGCTGACAACAGGGTTAAAGTTCAACTTATTTGAAGCTCAAACTCGTTGGGCGAGGTGTGAAATCTGAGGTGTGCAAGCTGTCCGAGACAGCACCGCTGCAGGGAGCGCGTTTCCCGCTTCTGAGGAACGCGCTGACTGAGACTGACGTGAAGCGGTGCGGTCCTGAAGATGCTGCAGAGGGCTGTCAGCGACGTACATGAGCCACGTAAGGTCAACATGGATGTTGACCATTTTTTATATTTCTATTTTCTTCTTCCTTCCTATTTTTTATTTTTATTTTTTTTATTTGTTTCTAATGTCTCTGTAAAGCACTTTGAATCACCTTGTTGTTGAATTGTGCTATACAAATAAATTTGCCTTGCCTTTATCATTCAGATTTTTAGGACACCCTAAAAATTGGGAAAGCCTGAGGATGGCGGTTGTCCTGCACCTGTGCTCCAATAAACCGGCCTCAAGAGCACAAACAGGAAGCAATCGTGTTGTTGTAGTGATGCATGTGGACACCAGAGTGCCTCCTCCTGACCTCCTGAGAGTCAGCGGGGACTTTTTGTACAATAACTTTATCATATTTAACAAAGTCCTTCATGCTGTGAATATTTACAGGCCCTGGAAGCTCTTAGAGATGGGGGGAAAATTTGATGTAGTTCATTGAAACCATGTTGACACTCACAAAATGAGACGGTGGATATAAAATTGATTTGGTTTGAGATTAAATGTGTTTGTATAGACAGCGCCTGCATTTATAAAGAATACAGGCGCCTTCTTTAAAAAGAAAAACCCAACAATATTAATACCTGTGTAGTTTGAGGGCCTGTAGTCTCAGATTGTCTAATGTAGTTTAAAACAATCATAAAATATTAACATTTTAAAAAGAAACTGAACTACTGAAACACAGCTACGCACTTTATTAATGCCCTGTCATTGCTCCAGTTATCATCGTTGGACCTGTTTTTGGTCCTGAACTCGTCTCATCTCAGCACGAGGTGGATGAAAATCTAATTTAAACTGGATTTTAAAGCTGTTGTTTGGGAATCAAATGATCAAAAACTAAACTTTCTGCTTATGTGATGATCCGAGTTCAGGGTTTGGGTGGGTCACGGAAGATTTTTGACATTTCAAACTGGACTGCAATGGTCCGAAGTCTGGGATTGGCTTCGTCTGCAAGACGAATGAATCGCTTTATAAGAGGACAGGATTTTAAGACACCATGAATGAACTTTCTGAAGATTTCTATATTGAATATTTAGTAACTACGATGACTGGGGAAGGTCACGGTAATCATCTCGAACGCCGTTTGCTGCATCTGGACCTCCTTCCAAAGAGGTGTTGCAGCACTTTAATAAATGCAGACTAATCCTGCGTCGTTTCTGAGAGAACAAAGTTATTATTCACAAAGCCACAACCCGGGCCTATTTTAAGCAACAAACTCCAAATGCTTCATGTCGATGGAGGAAAGATGCTGCCAATTAGTTTCTTCTGCCGTCTTGTTGGTTGGAGTTTTCCTGCAGAGCTGCCAGGAATCCACAGTCCTGGCCGGAGACCAGGAGAGCCTCATGTTATGTGTTATATTGATAAAATAATGCAATAGTAAATCATTTCCCAAGCAATAAGCCTGGTCACAGATGGACTGTAGGCAGCCAGCTCTCAGGAGGGAAACAATGCAATTACTGACAGCCCACACGGGCGGTTCAGGGGAAATTAAATGCTTATTGCTTGTTAGAAGCAGGGAAATGAGACAAAAATGAAAATCTCTGATGTTATAGGAGGTGGGCTGTTGTTATTTAATGAAATAGAAGAAACTTTGCTGAAGCCAGACGTTTCCTGATGATTGCTCACTTTAGGAAAAAAATTGTTAAAACATTCCAGAACAAAAAACACGGTCAGATAGAAACTCAATTTCAAGCCTCCGCGGGAAAAGAAAAGTCTGAAAGGATTTACAGCACACGTGAAAAGTTCGTGTTTGATGTCCTACAGTCTAAAAAAAAGAAAAGAAAAAAAGTTTACTCGCATTATTTATTTATTTATTTATTTATTTTTTAAATGGTGGCGTTTCGGGGGTTAAACATGGAAATAATAAAGAGCTTCAGTCTATCCAAAAACTCAACTGGGACTAGAAAGAGAGACCACATTTCTCCCATTTTGGCTTCTCTTGGCTTTCTTCATTCAGATCTAGACTAATGAGGCCCCATCATATCTTAAAGCAGCGGGCCCCGACCTTTTTTGCGCCACGGACCGGTTTAATGTCAGACAATATTTTCACGGATCGGTTTAATGTGTGGCGGATAAATACAACAAAATAAAACTATACGACCAAGACAAGAACTGTGGTATTTTGTAAATATAATAATAAACGCGAATTCACCCTGTAATTGTCTAACTTAATTAGCAGCGTCCTCCTGAAATGCGCCAACAACATTGAGAGTCATGTCCTCCTCTCTTCCCCCAAGTTTCTAAAAGTAGAATGGGAGGCAGAGCCTTCAGCTTTCAGGCCCCGCCTCCGTGGAACCAGCTCCCAGTTTGGGTTCAGGAGACAGAAACCTGCTTACTAAAATTAAACTTAAGACTTTGCTTTGTCAGCTGTAGATATTCTTATGCTGTGTGTTTCTTAACAGGACTTTTACTGTGAAATCAGCTGAAAAACCTGGAGTTTTCTGCAGATTTCACAATAAAAGTCCGGTTGAGAAATAAATATTTTCTGTCCACTAAAACGCTATAGGCCTTTTAATTTGAAACAGATACTGGAGTGGTTTAACAGAGCTGTACCTCTAACAGAGTGGGGGCCAAACAAAAATATTAAAATGGACCAATAATCATTTTCTTACTCCTACTGTTCTATTATTGTACCAAACAGTAGGAGTAAGAAAAAGACAGCAGGTGAGGCAAATCAGGGTCTATGAGATGAGACACAGAGTTTATGTGAATGATGCAAACATGTTCCTTAATCCTGGTTTACTTTTCATTTCTGAGCTTATG